AGTATCCGCACCATGCTCCTTCTCACCTTCTCTGATGGCCCTTCGTAGCCCGTAGATAGCCACAGCGGGAGATGGTGCGTTGCCAAAGACGTGGACCTTCATCCTGTAGTCAACAACTTCCTTATTGATGTTATTGTCCTTGTACCATAAAAAACGAAGAAAGTTGCGGTGGTCTTCATGCACCAAGAAACAATAAAACATCTGTTGGATGTCCGCAATAATTGCAACTCTCTCTTTCTGGAAGCGTAGCAGGACACCAAGGAGGGAGTTGTTGAGATCGGGACCCGTGAGCAGCACGTCATTGAGGGAGACGCCCAAGTACTGGGCGCTGGAGTCGAAGACCACCCTGATCTGATTGGGTTTTTGTGTGTGGTAGACCCCAAACGTAGGGAGATACCAGCACTCCTCATCTTCTCGCAGTGGCGGTGCTACCTCGGCATGTCCATTAGCAAATATTTTCTCCATGAATGCCACATACTGATCCTGCACATGAGGTTTCCTTCTCAAGGTTCGTTGTAGCAATGCGAACCTGTTTACCACCTGCGCCCTGTTGTTCGGTAGCAGCTGGCGTGGTTCTTTAAACGGCAGTGGGGCGACCCAACTGTTAGTGTCGTCCCTGTAGACACTTGTGTCCACCATCTTTAAGAAGATAAGGTCTTCTATTGATGGAGCCAGTTTGTTGTCGTGCTCAGTTCGATTGAATACTGTGTCACCCAGCATCCTCTTTGTCATCTTGTCAGGCCTACTAATGCTCTGCTGTGTCTCCTTGACTTGCATGAAGTTTGTGCAGGGTTGAAGAATCGAATGACGCCCATTGTACAGCACGTTGGTTTTGAACGCATTGACTGTTGGCTTATGTGCATTACCCAGGCACACCTCTCCTATTACTACCCAACCCAGGTCCAGCCGTTGAGCAAAGGGGGCGTTGTGTGGTCCGTTGACTTGCTGCCTGACCTTGTGTGCTCGAAGGACATCTCTTCCGAATAGAAGGAGTATTTGTGCTTCTGGATCCAGTTGTGGTATGTGCTTGGCAATGTGATGAAGATGAGGCTGATGTAGAACAGCGTTTGGTGTTGGAATCTCGGACCGATTGTTTGGTATTTCATGGCACTCAATGAGTGGTGGGAGAGAGATGAGAACCTTTCCGTCCAGCGACTCAATCGCGAATCCTTCTGCCTTCTTTCCAGATGTTTCTACAATGCCAGAGCAAGTTCTAAGGTCGTACGAGAATGGTTTGCTCTTCACACTGAAAAGTTTGAAAAACTCTGGTCTAGCTAGTGAGCGATTGCTCTGGTCATCCAGAATTACATAAGCTTTCACAGCCATGTCCTTGGAACCTTTTGGATATATCTTTGTGAGGCAAATCTTTGAACATGAGTGACTCCATTGACCTGGACCACAAACTTCTGTGCAGCTTGTTCTAACCACAGTCGTGTTAGAATTATCTTCTCCCTCCCCGCCATCCTCTTGTGATGGTGAAGGAGCCCTGATGTTTTGAGGTGATGGACCAGGATGCATGGCTGCATCATGATAGGGGCTGTCAAATTCAGAGCACTTTACAGAGAACTTGCAGTCGTTTGCAAGGTGTGAAACCGAAGAACAGCATTTGAAACATATTCCTTTCTCCTTAAGGAAAGTCTTCCTGTCATAGAATAGTTTGTTTCTGAATGTTCTGCATTTTTTGAGCAGATGAGGATTGTTGTGCAATGGACAGCTCTTATTCGGGTCATCATTGGGTGGAGAAACATAGGTTTTGTTCACTGAGATGTGTTTGTTGGCGTTAAAATTCTTTACAATGAATTTATCTGGCTTTATTGATGTTATGATGCTACTTTGATACATGAAGCTGGGGTCGTTGCGCTTCTTTGCCTCCTGGCACACAAAATTACAAAAATACTCAAAGGGAGGGAACTGCCCATGGTTGTCTTCTTTGTACCATGACCCAGTGGACATCCACTTCTCCTGAAGTCCAAATGGAAGTTTGTCCACGATTGGTCCAACTCCACGTGAAGTATCCAGATACGACAGGCCTGTGAGGTAACCATCTTCTTTAGCGCCTTGGATTTCCATGAGCAAATGCCCAAGTTCACGTAATTTGGAGGGATCCTTGGCTGAAATCCTAGGGACTGCGTCCAATGGCTGAAAAAGAGACCTCTCAATTATTTCGGGAACGGCATAGCACTCACGCAGTCTCTCCCATGCTTTGCGTAAAGCCAGCTTGGGGTTGCTTACATGCACGGAGCGTATGCGTTTCATCTGTTCACTCGATTCCCTCCCCAGCCATTTAGTCATAAGGTCCATTTCTTGGGTTGCTGTGAGGTTCACTTCGCCAGTGGTGTTGGTGGATGAGGAACACCATGCAAGGTAATTTTCAGGCTTATCGTCGAATTGGTACAGTCCTGCATTGACAAGATCTCGCCGTGCTAAATACTGTGCCAAAGGTTCTAACGGTGGTGCTGTGTTAGCTGGAGGAATCTGTCTTGGAACATATGACTGAGCATGTACATTCACAACAGGGTTTGTTCTTCTGACATCAGGCTTAGTCTCTATGGTCTGACCAGGTAAAATTGGTGTAGGTATGCTACAGCTGATGCTAAAGCTAAAGCTGACAGCAGGCTACAGGCCTGCTGTCAGCTTTTTCAGACTTTGGCTTGTTGTTGGCAGGTTGTGAAATGTCTGACGTAGGCGGATGCCATGTTATAAAGCTGGCGTTTGATTCTGCATGGAATGAGGAAGCACCAGGTAAGACTGACAAGAGTGGAGTGGAAAACTCAAGATTCCGAAGATTAATTTGTGATTGAACAAATTTACTGGTTCGTTCAATTTGAACCCTTTCTTCTTCAGATTTTCTGTCTCCACCTGCAACCTGCACTCCTTCGGAGTCTTCCAACACTTGAGCCTCCACTATGGCCGCCTCAGCTTCTCGATGTCGAATCATTACTTCCAAATCTGTGTCTATTCTTGCTGTTGCCAACTGATTTTCAGCTTCTCTGGCAGCCTTTTCCATTTTCAGTTTAGCCTCCTGGCTAGCATATGCTGCTCTCACTTTAGCAGCTTCTGCTTTAGCCCGAGCGCGAGCCACACCTGCAGATGATGCTGTTGTCTTGCTACTCCTGGTACTGGATACAGACGATTTGTCGTTGCCTGCCATCTTGACCACTTTGAAACATCCAACGCTTGCTTTTTCACTGTAGTGTTCTCGTTCAGTGTGTCGAAACTCTGATTTAAACACCGAGCTAAACCACAGTTAATGAAGACAGAGTCGTAGTAATTTTCACCCTTTTTACTGTCACTTTGTTCCTTTAACATGTTGTGTGGTGAAAAAGCATTGCTCCTAGGATGCGAGCAGATTACACCTCTGAGCATGTGGCTCTCTTTTGTTTGACTTCAACCAATGAAGCTACCAAAACCGGAAGTGACAAACCGGAAGTGAACGGAAAAACAAGTGAACGGAAAAACAACATTACAATAACCATCTTTTCTTTTCCACTTATATTGTATATAGCTGTTAAATGTCCTTGTTTTTCTTATATTTCTCTTGTTTATTGTATATATTTCATATGTGTGTATGTACGATGAGAGTAATGTGTAACCGGAGTCAAATTCCATGTATGCGCATGCATACATGGCCAATAAAGCTGATTCAGATTCTGATTCTGGGTATACCGGTTGGTATACCGCCCAGCACTAGGATGATGCCCTTTGATCCTCTGGAAGGCTTTTAACGTGAAACATCTGTGTAAGAAATTTTGAACTGACTGGAATGAGTGAATAAAGACTTTACTTCCATCATTGCAGAGAGTCTGCCTCAGGTCTACTGTGTGACAAAGGACATCATTATCATTGTGTCTGTGAATATGGAAAATGCATGATGAGGGCCTCAAGTTGGGTCGTATTTTATTACCTGATCTGAAGACACAGTGTCAAAGTCTTGTTGTTTTGTTTTCATTATTTGAGTTCATATTGTTATTACCTGTCAATTAATTAATATACATGTTCATAATATTACACAGCAGACCTAGGAGGGCAAGATTATGCTCCAGGGATCCGCATGCTTGTCAATGTGGGCAATAATGCTTTTATTGAGCTGCATGTGTGTCTCTCTAACCACCTGCTGGTTGCTGTTCACCAGTCAGTTCTGTTAAAGCCAAGTCAATCAACACTGCTCCCATCTGCCTTCTCTCTCTCTCTCTCTCTCTCTCTCTCTCTCTCTCTCTCTCTCTCTCACACACACACACACAAACACATACACCACACACTGGAAATGTGCCACATACAGCACAATACAGCTAAGCTACTTGTATCAGCAGGAAGCAAAAACATGCATTACTAACATTTTTAATCAAACCATAAAATATGCTACAAGAGCTTAACTGCTGCACACACACACACACACACACACATTTCCCCACATGTCCCTGCCTCTCTCCTGCAGTGTGAGCACACACACACACACACACACACACACACACACACATTTCCCCACATGTCCCTGCCTCTCTCCTGCAGTGTGAGCACACACACACAGAGCACATAAAGTGTGTATAGAAGAGCTTTTCTTGCACTATTGTAAAGTTGAGATGTGGGGAAAGTGCCGGGATCTGGCACAGAAATGGGACGATTACATAAAGACTAATAAAACCCAGCGTCAGATGAAAAGCACTTTACAGAAATGGTTGGAGAAGTGGAGTACAGTACAACGTCAGACATAAATACAATGTGTGTGTTTTTAAAAATGTAATTTGAATACACCAACACAGAAAGCACAAGTTAAAAGCATGTAACAAAATCTCAATTTATATAATGTACTTTAAGAGCGATTAGCAAAACTAGTGTTTCATGTGGTTTTCTTAGGGTGAACTCCGCCGAGTAGAACAAACCAAACGATGTAATTTGACCAAACCAAAGGATCTCTCTGTGTGTTGATAGAAGTCATTAAAAAGTTATTATAGTTTACAAAACGTAATGTGAAGATGAGCTGAAATGTAGAGCTCACTTACTTGTTAACAGGCAGTCGGAGGAAGACTCAGGGGAAAGTTGTGTCTCTGTCTGGACTCCTCTTACTCATGCACCTCCCTTAGCCCCTGCTTTGTCTCTCAAACCAGTTCATTCTGGTTGCATTAGCCCCATTCACCCCATACTCACACTCACACACACACACACACACACTGAGATAGAACTGCACAGATGTGTTGTCATGAGACGACCCTCTGCAGGTCATTAGGTCAGACACTTTTAAATTTGCTCAACCAAAACTTTCTCTAGTTGGTATTTGCTGATTGGACAGATCGACATCAGCCCCACAGCTGCAGCGAGGAGAATCTCTTCTTGAGCTTGTGTTGTTTCTTTGATCATTGTGTTTCTTATCTTATCATGTCTCTGCTTTCATCTTATACCCATAATGTGGAGTTGATCTTGATGAAGGGAGACCAGAAGGCAAAAATAACAGCAGAGAGCAGAACAATGTTGAAGCTCTAATGTATCAGAGAAGCTTTGATGGAATTTAAACAAGCCAAGAGGCAAATTGAACACAAACTCAAATAAAAACATTCTAAATCTGCGTGATGACACTTAAATACATGAATGTAAAAGCCAACAAAGGAAAATAGGTGACCTGAGTCATGATTCTGTTCATAAACTGGGAATACCTAAATAACCCTTGAGCCATGAGGTTGTTATTCCTGTAGATGCTCCATGCTGCACACAAGATAATCGAGTTTGATTAAGCTTTGTAAATGAGCATAAGAGCAGTTGGCAGTGTGTCATGGCCCTGATCAAAGACACCAATATAAGCTCAGAACTAAAGCCTTCATTATTCATGAGGAATTAGCTTGCAGTTGTCAATGAGAAAATGAATAGAGATTTCACAGGAATGAATGGAGCGCCATACGTTCTATTGCTACTTCCCTTACTGAACCTGAATCTCAAACCAAGGCATGTAAGTTATTCATATCATCACTAATATCTACGTTCAAAACTCTGTCACAGTCCAAGTTAGAATATGCTGTATATCTCTACATATGAATTGAAAAACAAAGACACACTTATATTCTAGGTCTTCTCTACTTATCATAATTACTGCAGTGATTACGTGACATGAGGAAGCAGCATCAAAGGTCAAAGGGCCTTGAAGAGCAGACGTATAGATCATATAAAAACCAAAGGGTGAATGGGTGCAGCTTTGTCAAAAGCTAACCCTAGCTAACATTAGCATAGGCTAACCCTGTGGCACAAAGCAGCCTGATTTAAACTGAAGTAACAGAAGGTTGTGTTTATATGATCGTGACATGTAACAGAGTTACAAGACCAGTGACGTATTTCTCAGGGATAGGAATATTTGAGCGTTGCACAGTTACAAGAAATATTTAAATCAAAGCCTTCACATTTGATTGGACGGCTAAAAAGTGGGCGGGCTTATAGTTTAGCGAGATACAGAGCTGAAGAGTGCTGCTGGCTTCACACACCTCCCTACATCAGATGAACGGTGCCGGCCTTCCTCCAAGCTCCACGCTCACCCATTGGCCCAATGTCCAGTGGACATCTGCATGTACTAACAAGCTTTGTATTATCTATTTGGGCTACCATCTATTTGTTTTCACTGTCTGCTTCATACTTTGTGCAGAGCTTGTCTCCACTCAGTCTGAGAGTCGTAACATTAGAGCGAGGAAGACGATCCATCATAGGCAACATTTACGGTGATAAAAGCACAACATTCAGTCTCCACCCCGCCAGTCTGCTGCCGCTAATGTGATTTTTGGTCTTGTTCAAAGTCTGTGTGACATATAATAGATAGCATAGACAGACACTAGCAAACAAGCTTCTCCTCCATTTTCTACAGCGACGTCACTGCCGCTTTTCTGAAAAGTTCAGAGATTTTCAACTTGAAGTGCTCGGAGCGGCCGCACCAAAAAGGCGGAGCTCTCATAAGAAGATGCTGGGGGCAGCACCTTTTCTTTGGCCTCTCCTCATTGCGAACAACTGAAAAAAGATGCTGGCGCTCAGAAAAAGATGCTGTGTGGATACAGGCCCTTAATTTAAATTGATTAATTTAAAGTCTTGGATTATCTTTGCACACTCGCCTGTAAATGCAGGATGAGACCCCAAACATTTACACCTTGGTGCATCAGTGGTCAAAAAGATAAAAAAAAAAACTCAAACAAAAGAATTCATGCTGGTAATAAATATCAGTTTTAATGTTTAATGTTAACCAGATATTTTGAGTTGGAACTGCCACAAGTACAAACAGCTGCTGTTACCGTTCAGAAATCCACAATAGTCTGCCATCTACTCAGTTTGTAACATTGTCTTTAAATGTACACAACATGATGGTTTAGATGTTTCACACTATCAAGACATGAAGCATTTGAACTACTTTTCTTCTTCTCAGTGCTAATGCTTATTGATATGCTTTGTTCAGTGGGATCATTATGAGGAACATACTGACCCATACAAACAGAAAGAGATTGTGGAGCGTAAAAGCTGTATTTACGTTGGAAAAGAAAAAGAAAAAGGTTTTCGGGACATTTTTCCTGCAATTAGTCCTAAACACAAAGAGTGAGAGCTTGAATAGGAGTAGTCCACTCCAGTGTAATACTTCTCACTAGATGAAAACAGAAGCTGTACAGAGTTCCCAGAGAACAGTACAGCTGCTCATTAAGTATACTACATTACATTACATTTCCTTCCTCTCCTCCTTTGAGCTTTACCACTCCTCTTCTCCTCCTACCCACAAGACCGGCAACCAGCTGGATCTTATCTTCACTAGACACTGTTCTACTGCTAATCTCTCTGTCACTCCCCTCCAGCTCTCTGACCACTATTTCATGTCCTACTCCCTCTCCCTCTTCTCTCCCCCCTTACTTCATCCACCTACCCACATGGTCTATACCCGTAGTCATCTCCACTCCCTCTCCCCCGCTGATCTTTCCTCTTCCGTTACCTCTGCTCTCCCTGACCCTGAATCCTTCTCTCTCCTATCCCCTGATACTGCTACTGACCTTCTCCTCTCCACCCTTTCCTCTTCTTTGGACAACCTCTGTCCCTTCACCTCCAGGCCTGCACAGCCAACCCCACCTGCCCCATGGCTGTCGGACTCAGTGTGTACTGACAGACGGAGCCTAAGAGAGGCTGAGCGTAAATGGAGAAAAGGCAAACTCCCGGAGGACCTTCTTAACTTCCTCTCTCTTCTTTCCACGTTTTCCTCTCTATCTACTGTTAAAGCTGCTTTCTTCCGCTCTAAAATCCTAACCTCTGCTTCCAATCCTAAAAAACTCTTCGAAACTTTCTCTTCACTGATATCAGATCCTCCTCTCTGTCCACCCTCTCCCCCTCCGGCTCTTCCCCCTCAGCTCTCCCTCCCCTCTCCATGCCCCATCTTACCCTGTCTTGCTCCCCTCTCCCCTAACGAGGTCCTCAACCTTGTTACATCTAACCACGTGCTCCCTTGACCCGATCCCCTCCCCTCTTCTTCAGTCTATTGCAACTGAACTCCTTCCTTTCCTCACCACCTCATCAACACATCTCTTGTTTCAAGATGCTTTCCCACGGTTTTCAAGACTGCCAGAGTCACCCCCCTTGTGAAGAAACCATCACTTGACCCCTCTGATGTCAAGAACTTCAGACCGGTTTCTCTTCTACCCTTTCCATCCAAAACACTTGAACGTGCTGTCTTTAACCAACTGTCTTCCTATCCCCATCAGAACAGCCTCTTGGACCCCCACCAGTCTGGTTTCAAGGTGGGTCACTCGACAGAGACAGCCCTCCTTGCGGTGACAGAGTCGCTTCACGCCACGAGAGCGAACTCTCTCTCCTCTGTCCTGATTCTCCTGGACCTGTCTGCGGGTGAACCACCAGATCCTCCTCTCCAACCTCGAGGGGATGGATGTCTCAGGTTCTGCACTCTCCCTGTTTGCATCCTACCTGACAGGTCGATCCTACCAGGTGACATGGAGGGGGGCCATGTCGGAACCACGTATGCTGACTACGGAGGTTCCACAAGGCTCAGTCCTGGGCCACCTTCTCTTCTCGCTCTACACAACATCTCTGGCTTCTGTTATTCGCTCGCATGACTTCTCTTACCATTGTTATGCCGATGACACCCAGCTGGTCTTGTCATTTCCCTCCGGTGACACTCAAGTGGAGCCACGCATCGCTGCGTGCTTGGCTGACATCTCAAAGTGGATGACGACACACCACCTCAAGCTCAACCTGGACAAAACTGAGCTACTGTTCCTCCCCGGGAAGGGTTGCCCGCACCGAGACGTGTCCATCACCATCGATGATACCGTGGTGACGCCAACTCGGACTGCGAGGAACCTGGGTGTGACCCTGGATGACCAATTGTCATTCTCAGCAAACATTGCATCGGTTACACGCTCATGCAGATTCCTGCTCTACAACATCAGGAGGATTCGCCCCTTCCTCACTGATGAGACAGCGCAGGTGCTCATCCAGGCTCTGGTAATCTCCCGCCTGGACTACTGCAACTCTCTACTTGCTGGAGCCCCGGCGTCGGCCACCAGACCTCTGGAGCTTGTCCAGAAAGCTGCAGCTCCTCTGGTGTTCAATCGCCCCAAGTTCTCCCACACAACTTCCCTTCTCCGTTCTCTACACTGGCTACCTGTAAGAGCTCGCAATCAGTTTAAGACTCTGGTGCTAGCCTACAGGGCAGTGAAAGGAACAGCTCCTTCCTATCTCCAGGCCACGGTCAAGCCCTACACCCCCGCCCGGCCACTTCGCTCTGCTGCCTCGGGGCGATCGGTTGCCCCGTCGCTCAGAGGTCCCTACGGCCGATCGACCCGGTTGCGGCTGTTTTCTGTCCTGGCCCCACAGTGGTGGAATGAACTCCCCACTGACGTCAGGACAGCAGAGTTGCTGCCCATCTTTCATCAGGCTGAAAACTCACCTCTTCAAGAAGTACTACCTGAGCCTTCTACTTAGCACTTATTGTATTCATACTAGTTTGTTGCACTTATTGTATTCGTATTGGTTTGTCTCTGTACGTTTGCTCTGGTTTATGCTCTTAGATGCTTGTTTAAAAAAAGGAGATGCACTTATGACTTCTGGTGACGAGTAGTTCTCTTGAATACCGATGTTGAATACACTTATTGTAAGTCGCTTTGTATAAAAGCGTCTGCTAAATGACTGTAATGTAATGTAAGTATACTAACAACAAGACCAGGATCAATGCATTCGATCTGGACTTATTATCCTGATTGGGAGTGTCGTGTGGACCCCATCCTGGATAAGATCAATAGGAAGTCTATTGCTATTCTTGGCAAGTGGTATTTAGTTTTCTCACAGTGAGTTGTCCACAGTAGAGACACGTGGGCCTGGAGGCGATTTTGTTTTTATGAGGATTAATGCACATACATAGTGGCAGATAGAAAACGTCAAGATATGGCATAAATAAACAAAGAATAACTAGAAAAAAATAGAGGTATAAACAAATAACGGAAAGCTTCACTAATTAGATTGTCGTCTTCACCAGCAGATTGTGATAAAGAAGACTCACCTATCATCACCTGAGAGTGGAACAGCACTTTTTACTGTAACTTCTTATGCAGCATGAATGCACATTACCACATTATTGCCAACAGGTTACGGACACACAGGAATTTACAATCATCAGTATGAATTAGGAATGGCAAAATTGAAAAAGACCTTGTACTGTATGCAACGTATCCTCATAGAATGGCTTGTATGATATCCTCTCTATGAAAGCCGCTCGTTACATCCATGCAGGCTTCACAGGAAGCTTCTTAGTTAGGTTTAGGAAAAGACGGTGGTTTGGGTTAAAATAACCGCTGAAGTGTCGTTACTGAAGAATGCAAGTTATGTGAATAAATCAACGCTGACTTCCAGTTTCACATGAGGAACAAACAAGTCTTCTGGGTCAAACATCGGTCTTTGTTGGACCCCCGTTTGTGCTTTAGTGGTCTTTATGCCTCCTCATTCATGATCCCTTAGATATCCCACAAAATCATTTTGAATGTTATCTAAGACAGCGTACTATTTGTCGTAGGTATAGCTTGTATGCTGATGAGAGCAGCCTGCTGTAGAATAGTTATCATTGCGATATCACACTGAGACGGGAAGTCTCTCATTACTGCACAATACAGAATAGCCCACAAACTGCAGCCTCCAAAACAAGCACAGTGTGGGATCAACTCCTCTCTGTTTCAACATTAGGACCTTCATGAAACTAGGATTTAGGACAGTTGGATCAGACTGGATTAGTCTGAACTGGATGGGTCTAATCAGCTGGAAACACACTGTATTTGTACAGATACTGAAATGTAAAAAGAGAGCTGCAGGACATTTGTCCATCCATACTGGTGGCTTCAGGTTGTACAGCACAGAATTATGTTCACAGAAGTGTGACCATCTGAATCTTAGGAGCTTTGTGATCTGAATTTTTCAGAAACATGTTAATGTGTTTCAAAACTGAAATCATTAAATGCTGAATTGGCTTGATCCCAAATCTAAAAACAGACAAAAGAAACAAATACACTTTCTTCTTTTATTGTCTTCATATTAATCTCAAAAACAAATTTTACAAATGCCAAAGAATTGAATCCACAAAAGCAGGAATAGAAAGACAGAAAAGACAGTTGCACACCCATGTGTTCACCAGACAACAGTCATGAACATGACAGAATAAAGACTGGACTGGCCACAGGTGTAAATGTACAAAAAGCTGCTTTACATCACTGCAATACAGTACACGCAAGAGTTTACTGTCAATTCAAAACTAAACTGAAGAAAATCACATCACAGGCATGATTCAGAGTCTCAAGTCTTTCTGGGTTACTAATGATTCCAGCAGTGGCTGTGCTGAGTTCTTTCTAATCATTTACTCAACAAAGACACAAATCCTCAAAAGACTTGTTGCACAGAAACTTTATATCCTGCAATATGACTGAAATGGGTTGTGCATTAGTCCAGCTGCTAAACAGCATCTCATAATCTACAGTTCGTACAGAGCAGAGGTCTGAACGTCCAGCTGGTCAAGTCTGTGTATTCTGGTGAACGGACACATTTTCAAAGCTCTTTGGTACACTTAAGTCTGAAATTGGCTGTCAGGCAAATGGAAATGCAAACAAAAGACATTAATGAAAAAATGTATCTCTTCAAATATTATCAATAAAGAGAATGTGTGATCTGCCATTACAAGCTGACAGACAGTGAAAGCTGCAGAATGCATGCAGACTTCCTGAATGAGACGAGCAGAGATGCTAGGCTTTGTGTATGAAAACCCTCGTCATGTAATGAGTGGTTACATGTGCACTGATGACCAGTTCTGATCATATTTGCATAAGATGTTCACATGGAGCATGTCTCCATGGAGGTCTCTGAGCTCTTGTTTCCACTCTTGGTGTCTCTTGCTGCACACATGAAGGAAGGAATTTCTCTCTGAATTAGTTGAGTTGGTGTCCAGATGTTCAGCCCCGTGTAGATCCAGGCGTGTCCTTGAGTTGCCCATATCTCAGCCTCTCTGCAGTTCACTACAGACTGAGTTACCTGAACAGGTGAGGGTGATTGCTTCATCAGCTGATCAGCAGTAATGCAGTGAAAGTGATCCTCTGGTGAAGATCATGATTCGTAAACACAGACATGGATGTGAATGTGCTGAGTGATTCTTTAGTCCTGAAGACAGCTTTCCATCTGTTCCTTCTCTTTTCTGTGGTGGGGCGGGCTACTCTTTTCTTTCCATCTGGATTGACGGTTGTGCCTTTAAAAGCTCTCACAGCTCTGAAGTTTCAGAGGACTTAATGAGATCGAAATGGAGATTTGAGTTTGATATTTAATTTAGCTGTAGCGTCCAAAAGTGAGCCGAACACAAAAGTTCCTCACAGTGTTGATGTTGAACTCATCACAGTTCACAATGATTTATGTGCACTGTAATGTTTGGCACAACAAACTATAATAATCCATAATTTGAGACTGGATTTTACTAAAACAATCTTAACAAAATATGAAGATATAATTTTCTCTAAAGCGCACACACACCCATTTGATCTAACTTGACACAAAAGGAAAGATTTAAGTGGAGTCTAAAGTCCAATCCTCCAGCGCAGGCACCAGAAATACATCACTTTGATTATTATTATTACTATAACTTATGAATAATAATTATCTCTAGAATATGTTGATATAAGTCAACGAAGCACGTACAGTATATTGATGCATTGGTATGGCTGGGTAAGGGTTAGCAGGTTCATAATCATTCATAATAATTCATTCATTTAACAAACCCCCGTTTGTCTCTGGTCTAAGCGTCAGTCTAGACTACATCTCTCTACAACTACTGGATTACCATAAACCTGATCCTGATATCCATGCCCCCCCCCTGCCCTTAACACCAGCAGGCCAACATGTTCAACACTTTGCTCCGTGACAAGCTATTACAAAAGCTAACAGTCGGGTTTCCATGACGTTAACTGTAAATATTCAAATACCAAATGTCAACAACCCCAAACAGAACATATTCTATAAAGTCAAGGAAACAAAAAGTTAGCGCATTACAGGTGTGTAATGCACTTTGTAGCCACAGTAACTGGGCCTTAGACTCCATGGTTGTACGACATTAATTACATTTCCTGAGTATGTTCAACCATGACTTTAGCATTTACTTTGTGATACCGAGTGACAGAGTCCAACCTCACAACACATGGCGTGATCACTTTTAGTCCTTTAAATTTGTTTGATACAAAAAAGTTTTGGAGAACGAAGAAGTCCTCACAAGTGGACTTCTCTCTTAAATTGTTATTCAAAGTCTGACACAAGATTCTGATCATTCCCGAAACAGTTTTCACAACTTCACCAACACTTTTTTACTGTGCCACTCAAAATGAAAAGGGATGACTTCACGAGTACTGTTTATCTTCCCCTCATTAACCCTCCGTGTCACTCTCAATACCATCATTGTGTCATTTATAACAATGATTCTAAACCATCATCATAGTCACAGCCTCGATCTTTATTAAATGCACTTCACTGGTATTTGTGCACCAGGCCTTCTGTGAGTCTCATGAGGATGAGGAAGGAGACGTGAAGAGTTCAACAGCTTCAGACAGCCGTCTCCTGGTCCTCTCTTTGGATCATCTGGTAATGCTGTCTGTTCTCCAGATAGGCTGCCAGTTCAGAGTCATGAGCCTTCTCAGCCCTGTTCTTAGGAGTCTCACCCTGATGAAGACAAACAAAGATTTACACTTTTAGATTATTTCAACTGCTCTTCTATTCTGCCAGCCACATTTACAGCCGACATTCAAATGTCTCAACATATTTAATTTCTCATATCTTTGAAAATGAAATTGTTTTGAAAACGTTTTAATTCAAGGTCAAAACCCAGCAGAACTCAAAATCATCTGTACAGAACATTTTGCTTAATGCAAAAATATAAGAATACAACAGCTGATTCCCATTTGAGCTTCCATGCTGGAAGGTCTTTTTCCACAGCAGTTGTTACCTTGATGTTTGTTTGTACAGTCGGATCTCTGGTACCGTAAGACTAACAATAGACAGAATGAACAACATACAGTACCAACACGTTTGCACTGTGAGCTGCGATGAACACGGGGCTTTAGAGTCTCTGCTAGAGTCTTATTCCCCCTCTCCTCTCCTCTGAGCCAGAGACATTGTGGTGTTTCATTAAGCTCCTCTATGACTGAAAAGTGCTGTTGTTAAAGTAGCATTGTCTCCAACTAATACAAATGAGGTAATGACAAACAACTGCATTCAAAATGAAATGAACAGCTTGTGTCCTTGAGAGGACACACACACACAAACACATTCTACTGTAAGGGGTTGCTGAATCACTTCCAGAGTCTAGAACAGACTCTAATTAGTTGAGTCCAGTGTGTGTGTGTGTGTGTGTGCGCATTTGTCTTCAGGAGGGAGAGGTAAAGATAAAACAGAGTACTTTAGCGATGTCCAAACCATAGCTCTCCCTCTCCCTCTCTCTCTCCCTCTCCCCCTCTCTGTATCTAGGTCATTGCTGAGTCCAGCCAGTTAGGAGCTTTATCTGCACTGTTGAATCCTCCATGGAAAAATTAACAATGGACAAGAATGAAAGAAGATGCATATTTGAGACCAACACACACACAGACTTTCTGGCTCAAAGTCAGTGACCTGGCCATCACACATATATGAGCGTGTTGGACAGTCAATTCTAAATCCATTGACATTAATATGGAGTTGGACCCCCACCTTTTTGGCTATGATACTCTTCTGGGAAGGCGTTCCACAAGATTCTGAAGTGTGTCGGTGGGAATTTGTTTCCAATCAGCCAAAAGAGCGTTTGAGAGGTCAGACAATCTGCGTTCTAATTCTTCCCATTTCTTCATGGCCCTTGCTTTGGGCACAGTCATGCTGGAACTGCAAAGGGTCTTCCACATACCGGTGGAAGTTGTAATTGTCCAATTGACTAAAATGTCTTGGTATCCTGTAGTGTTAAGAGGACCTTTCACTGGAACTCGGGGGTCAGCCCAGACCACCTCCACCAATCTTTACAGTAGGCAGGTAACATTCTCCTGGCATCCGCCAAACCCAGCTTCGTCTATCAGACTAGTGAAACATGATTCTTCACTCCAAAAAACACATTTCAACTGCTCCAGAGTCCAGTTGCGGCAGACTTTACATCACTTCAGGCGCTTGACATTGAGCATTGTGATGGGAGGCTGTCGTGCATCTGCTCAGCCATGGATACCCATTTCATAAAGCTCCCTATGGACGGTGTGTGTGTGCTGAGGTTGGAACTGTATAGTAAGTGACGCAACAGATCATAAGTGCTTCAGCCCTCGTTGGCCCCGCTCTCGGAGTTTACATGGTCTACTACTTGGTGACTGAGTTGTTGTTCTTAGTCACAATAATAGCACTTACAGTTAACCAGAGTTGATCTATTAGACATTTCACAAACTGACTTATTGCCATAAGTAGGTGGCATCCTATAACAGTGACACGTTTAAAGTCACTGAGCTCTTAACAAACAATTCTGAATTCTAAATGTTTGAGATTTCAAGACCATATGCTGGATTTTATGCACCAGATATCACTTTGCAAGAAATCTCAACCTTTACCTGAGCAAGGCTAAAGCCAATGCAGCAGAACCTTCACTGGACATCATGGTTCTAAGAGTCATGTTGAAGTATACCCACAGTGCAAACTCAAGGCCCAATGACCAACGTGAGCGCACTTTTATTGCACAAGACACCGCTCCAGTTATATTAGGACCAGATGGCTCATAGAAATGGCCCCGTCAACCCATATTCTTGACGCACACTTCACAATATACCATGATGAACACGTGATGGTCTTAAGATCTAGGATTTAAGATGATAAATGGTAAACGGATTGGAGGAAGGAAGGAACCACCGATCCTCTGATTGAAGGACGACCCTGCTCTACCACTGAGCCACAGTCTCTAAAGTCATGCAGATTGGATGGACATACTCCCATGATTCCCTCTCCAGTCACCCTGCAAAGAGCTCCACAATCTGTCCTGAATCAACATCACTACAGCCATCTCTCATAGGCTGAGGAAGGTGGAGTAGTGAGATACCATGAGAAGCACATCTTCCGGTCCAGCCTACGTATACAGTTACTGCCATGAAGTGGTAAGTCAGCAGTCAGCAGTAAAAACATATTTAGACATAACACTATTGGTTTGTGAATGCCTGATTGAAAGTGATCGCTACAATGCTCAGCAAAGGTGATTGCCCCAGCTCAGCTTTGTTCTGCCTCTTTCACTGCTTTGGATTTTGTGGATTTAGCAACTGACAAAGATTTTAGTATCTTTGGAAATGGAGGAGGTCACGTGGGCTCTCCATGGAGATGGCACCAGATCAACCATCATGGGAGCAAGCCCAAAGTACAGGTATCGCAGCAGTGTAACACGAGAGCTGGAATCCTCCCAACCCGAGGTGCAGAACCCATTATATAATATTTATATTTTGTAGTAGTCATTTTTATTTTGAGTCTTTAAAACCCATTTTAAACATTCACTGTATCTTCTATATGAATAATCTTGTGTTGAATGTGTATTTATGTTGGTAGACATAAGGAAGATGTTTTTGCAGATTTGGGTCCAGAAGTCAGCACTGGGGATGATCTGTTGCCCTTGAAACTAGGCTTGTAGGAGAGGGGCATTCTCTTCCCAATCTAAAATGATAATTCTGGGCTATCAATGTAAGGTATGTGAGGACATGGTTACCAAGTCTGAGGCAAGAGATAAAACAAGCTGGTGAAGACATAGGTTAACTCCCTAGTCCGGACTATTTGGTACAAAGCTGCTACAAAAGAAAGATCATCCTATTACCACTGCTCAATCACTATGGAATGAACTGCACTCAGTAGTGCTGGCCGTTCAAATCCTCTCAAGCACATATATGGAGCAATTTCCAAAAGGTTACCGGAAGACGAGGGCAAAAGGCTCGGATTATTTTTGTTTTATCACATTTATTGGATAATTGTAAGAAAGGAAGTTGCTGAGGTATCCAAACACAAAGTACCTAGGAAGCTAAACTGCTAAACCATATACTTTGGGTTCAACCAATGAACTTTAGGACTCTGACTTGTCCTCCTTTAAAAAGGGAAGGATTATTTTGGCTTGTAAACATTGGACTCCACACACATACACAGTGTGATCAGAACCTACCTGTAGGTCTGTTTTCATCAGTGAGGCTCCTGCTTCTACCAGATAATGACAGATGGTCCTGTGACACAGAGATGCAGCTCGATGGAGAACCGTCTCTCCACTGGTGGTCAGAGACAGAGAGAGCGAGCATCAGATATCAGCAACTCTCATGGCCTTCTGAGAGCATTGATGATCAGGTGCCCTACGGCTTTTGTTTGGTGTTTTATGTTTATTCTCTTTAACATTTGGTACACACAGCACATATAGACAGACCAGGGCCCAGTGGAACAACATCAAAGCTGGTGCTGCAGTAACAGGACAAGGTTTTTCTCAGCCTATGGTGTGTCCATTCAAACTAAATGAACTATGGTCAAACCAAAACAACCTCATGATCACCATTTTACTCATTTGTTTAAATCATCCTTAAACTGTTGAATGCCTGGGGATAAAAGGTATCCATGACTGTACTTACTGTAGTTTTTCTGTGACATCGAGCAGGTCACTAGGAGCTGGAAAACAGACCGATGAGATTATTGTACAGAGACGTCCAACCGGACCATTGCTGCTTACTGTCAATGGTACACTACAAAGGCAATCAATGTATTCTTCTATGAATTGAATCCATTCATTCTCCTTACCACGGTGGCAACTGATGATGATGAGATGGTGATTAATAAAACTTGAACTAAACAAAATATCATCATGCTGAAATCATTCATTCCTACTGTGTAACAACATATTGTACAAAGTCTGTTCATAGTTATATTTTCCAAATGTATACATGTTCTTGGCATTTGGAAAGTATAATAAATATCTCATCATTAACAATTGATTGATCCTGTCACATGGAACATTGATCTTGTATTTCCCCACTGGTATTACTTTCCTATCAGTCGAGTTCTGTAACCGCTGTATGAGAGCAGAGCGTTCATTTATTTGACACATAACCAGCGTACTGTAGTTACAGCACCCTGTGGTTATTTTAACCCAAACCACCAACTTCTCTGACTTTCATAGGGAGGAAAATGCATAAAAAAAAAAATGAGGAGTAACTTTTCATATCATCAGAACAAGCAGAACTGGACCGGTATTTCAACAAAGAGGAGAAGCTGATACCAACACACACAGAGGGAGAGCTACTTTATTCTCTGCAGAGGTATATCCTCTATATCTTTATTTAATAGTTGTTTGATGAGATAATAATGATCTGAATTCCATACACTGAACCTTTTACCATGACTTTAAATGCCAAACACATTTTAAAACCAATAGAAACTTGATTTACAGTCGTTGAATTGTGTCTAAATCTAGAGTGTAAGTAAATATGTGATGTGCACCAAGTAACTGTAATAAACACCATGTTTTACTCTGACATCTCTCATGGAGGTCCAAATGCCTGGTGTATTAGTATTACACATTTGGTTGTATGCTACAGTTACCATTGTCCAGGATGTAGCGGACCATCTCTTTGCTCCCTGTAGCAGCAGCATGGTGCAGCAAACTGCAGCCGGATGAGTCCAGCACTGTGAGGTCCGCCCCCTTCAGGTGCAGCTCCTGCAGCTTTTGGTGAAATAGGAGTTAAATTAGCTTTATACAGGTAAAGAAGATGTAGCAACATTTTGATTGAATACTACAAAAATGAACAGAAGAACTTAAAGCTGTACTAGTTGTTATGTATATCTTTACCACTCAGGGCCAGCAGAACAAGTTCAAACACTATGACCAGATAAAGCCAAACAATTGCTTATTTATACATCATGCAGTCACAGAGCAACATTAGCATTCATAGAGTTATGTTTGAGTTCACCTGATGAAGTTATGTCAAACATTGTCTCTCTAAGCTCTGTTTTTGGTCTCTACCACCTCCTGAGGAAAAGATCTGGCTCTTTAGATGCTAAATGTTCCTCTATGTTCACCAGCCAGTCTGCTTGGTCCTGAGCGGGTAGAGTGCAGTGGGTTCATCAGAGCGCTTTCATTGAAAACCAGTGGAAGAGGCTCAACGTTGTGCAGAGTTTGTGGGTTTGTCACAAGCAACATCTTTCAGATTAATCAAGTGAAGATAACGCCCTCAAAATCCAGACTTCTTCCCACAATGTATCCAATGCGCTTTGGAAGCATCCTGGACCCTTTCTACAATAAATACATTTGAATTGATTGAGGCAGCCATCTGTGGTCTGCAGTTTGTGGATTCCACCTTCATTTGAGGGAAGATAACGTCCAGAAACAAAAATGTACATGTACCCAGATGTTTCCATATGTGACAGCAGACTGCATGCTTACACTTGAACTCTTTACTCTCCTCAAATTATAGTATTTGCAATTAATGGTAATCAACGGTACTCATCACATAAAATAATTATACGATTTATTCTATTGATTGATTGGCTCACCTTCTTGCCGTCCTTGTTCTTCACACACTCAATCAACATCTCTGGCATCATGAGGGAGACAGACAGACAGATAGAGTTTATTTCACAGGACTCTATAAATCTCAGAGTATCACTGAACGGTAACCTGAGCTCCATGTGTCACTGAGGAACCTTCAAATGCTCTGTTCTCCAAGTTTAACAGACTAACTGGCAGCAATGAGCATCTTTAAGAAGCCACAGGCAACTGTCAGGGATTTTATTTGGAAATAGGTGATGTCACGTACTTCCATGCACCACTCAGGATTTTGCAGCCTCTGAATCACAATTGACAGTTGGTGTCTTGTTTGGTCACTGTCAATCCTATTCTGTCAAACCACACCCACAACAGTATGATGCAGCACATTTTGAAAACATTGCTGAAAAAGTGGGCAAGGGGCTGAGAGATGGGGGGGGGGTAGTACATGGATGTGTGAGGCACATTTTTGCTCAGCGGGCATTAACATTCTATTTTTGGATACATACCGACCGACTATGTTGTGTTGAGACATTTTCAGTACGGATTTTCAATTGGTAAGAAATGTTAATATTAACACCAGCATTGATGCGTTTCATCACAGTACAGTCATGTCATTTACTTTACAGTGTGTCAGCGTGCAGTTACTCTTTTAAGTCTTATACTAGATATGGGTTTTTTTTCAGTCATAGTATCCGTTCTGATGAAACAGATGCAAACAGAAGCAGGGATTTAGGCATAGTGCATTACCATCATGGATATTATCGTCTTTTACAAGAAACTGTGGCTCATGGTCATTTATTGCAGTCCTACAAGTCTCCTAAATCCTACCTTTAATGCTCAGTTTATTATTTTGTGGAGACTCACCAGAAGTAATGTACAATATTCATTACAGAACTAAAATAGTAAATACAGTAGCAGCTAGTGAATTGGAGAAAGACAATAAAAGTGTCCTCATCAAACACAGACAACATGGCATGTTAATGCCATTAGTTACTGTGTACTGCTGAAGCCAGGCTGACATATTAGATGAATGTTTATCAGGTTGACCTCAATACTCGCTCTCACTCCTCTCTCTCTGAATAGCTGAGTCCTAATCCAGTTATGTTAGGCTTAGTGTGAGGGTGTGTGTGTGTGTGTGTGTGTGTGTGTGTGTGTGTGTGTGTGTGTGTGTGTGTGTGGGGGGG